TATCTTCAGTACTTTTTTCTCAGAAACCGTTTTTTAACATGCCGGCGAGCTTTTGTGATCAGTTGCTGGCGTTTTTTTTTACTACCTTACTTGCATGGACATTACAAGATTCGAAGTACGGATGTTGCATTATCGGCCTTACATTTGGGCCTTATGTTATAGGCAGCGTTTGAAGGCTGATTTTAGATCTTTTTTTGCTCCGAAATGTCTGGTAATTTTTTGATTCACTGGAATTCCTAGCTGATGGATCTTCTGGTCCTCGAGTTTTTTTTATAATTGAGAATGTAGGTAAGTTCAGGCTAGTTGCACAGCTGAGGTCGAAAACTGATTCCCGAATTAATTAATTTTCAAAATTTTTATTTCGTAACTCCCTGATTGTTGAGTCATAAATAAGCCTGCTAACACAGTCTTAGGTTGCTTCAGTTTATAAAGCGAATGAATTTCGCTAAATTTACTTCTTATAGCTTCATTACTTTTGGAGTTATAAAGTTTGCGTACATTTGATTCTAACTGCGCAGGTCGCCAAATAGGAAAAAGTATGAGCTAATTTTAACGTTCTGGCCTTAGACATGATTGGGCATTATATTTCCAGAATTTCAGCCGCCTAGTTTTCCTAGTTCCGAAGATTGATTATCCGGGCTGAAATACATATGCGCTTATACAGAAACAGGTCCTTGCCTTGACACATTTTTGCTTAAAAATGTGTCCATTTTGTATGCTTTATTTCACTTGTCAGTCTGCTTGCATGTGATTAGCTTAGCTGTTTATGCTGCATGCCACACAGAAGCTGCGCGATTCGCATCATCCCTCTTGCCTCGTTTCGCCTTTTCTTCTTTTTTGAGTAATTTAACTGATAATTTAAAACTGCTGAATGCATTTACACATACAGTACTTGCGAAACAGGATTACTGTTCAGATTGACTGATGATAGCGACAGCGATACTGACATACAGTATCGTGACGATGCACCAAGCAAGCGCTCTGGCATTGGTCACAGCACGAATCCGGCTATTGCAAGTCGCATCATTGCACGCGCACCGAGTACCGAGGATGACGAAGATGTCCCGCTGAGTAGGTTTTTCCTCTCACTGAAACTGGAACAGGATAATTCTGGAAGGCAGTTGTATTACTGATTTTTTTCATTCATTTGTTCTTTTAGTCATCCTTTCATTCAAATA